GAGAAGTGAGGGGCTGGTCCATAGTTCACAAAAGGAGGAGCAGGTAAAGAAGCAAATGTACAGATTTAAGAGGAGGAAAAGGGAGGAGGGGATAGGTAACCAGCAGGGTCTTGGTGTGGTCGTAGGAGAGAAGAGGCAAGGGATGGACATGGATGTTGTCGAGGAGGAGGAAGATAGTCAGAAGAGGGCTCGGACAGAGGAGAAGATGACTCAAACCATGAGGCGGGGCTGTCGGAACAGCTCCGCGAGCAGAAATGAAAATTATAGCATGGAACTGTCGGGGGCTTGGGAACCCCGCGGCAGTTCGAAGCCTTTTGGAATTACAGAAGGCAGAAGATCCTGATGTGCTCTTTCTCTCTGAAACTAAAAGCTATGAGAGGGAGATGGAGCATTTGAGGTGGAAGCTTGGTATGCCAAACATGGTGGTGAAAGATCCGGAAGGTCGTCGGGGAGGGCTCGCTCTCTTTTGGCGAAGGGGAGTGGATGTACGACTACGGTGGAAGGATAAATACTTTATAGATGCGGTGGTGATGGAGGAAAATGGAGTGCAGTGGCGGTTGACGGGCTTGTATGGGGAGTCCAAAGCGGGGGAGAAAGGAAATACGTGGAAGGCATTGAAGTCATTGAAGGGGCAGCTGAACCTACCATGGCTATGTTTGGGCGATTTTAACGAAATCCTATTTGCAAATGAGAAGGAAGGAGGGCCGGCTCGGGCCCAGGGGTGTATGGATGCTTTTCGTGCCACACTGGAGTTGTGCGGGCTCGAGGATTTAGGATTTGTAGGAGATCCCTATACGTGGCGTAACAATTGGCATGATGTTGAAGGGTATACAAGGGAGAGGCTGGATCGGGCAGTGGCATGCAATAACTGGCGCGGGTTGTTCCCTTTGTATAAAGTAATAAACGGGGATCCTCGTCACTCTGACCACAGGCCGGTTACAGTTCTGGTGGATGGCATGCAGCAGGAGGGAGAAGGTGCTAGAGGTGATGGGTGTTTTAGGTTTGAGGCAAGATGGTTGATGGAGGAGGAGTGTGCTCGGGTGGTGGAAGAGGCGTGGAATGCAGCATTTGTAGAGGGGGATGCTTCTGTTAAGGATAGACTGGCTAAGGTGGGGGGAGAACTCACAAAGTGGGATCGAGAGGTGTTGGGTGAGCTAAAAGGAAGGATTAAGAAGGCAAAGAAGGAGCTTGAGAACTGTCGGCGGGGCTGTATTAGTCAACATAAAATAAACCAGGAGCATCTTCTTCGATTTAAGCTCAGCAGGCTGGAGGATTAGTACAATTTATATTGGAGGCAGAGGGCGCATGTTAATTGGTTGGAGAAGGGAGATAAAAATACAGACTTTTTCCACGCCCATGCAAATGAGAGGAAGAGGGTGAATACCATAAAGAAGTTTAGAAAGGAAGGGGGTGAGGTAGTGGAGGGAGAAGAGGAGATAGGAAAAATTATTACTGACCACTACAAAAGTTTGTTCATGTCTTCTGCAGGTATCGCCAACGACGAGGTGCTGTCCCACATGCACACCTCGGTCACACACGATATGAACTCTTGCCTAACTCGTGAATTCACAGAACAGGAAGTAAAGGAGGCCCTAAATTCCATTGGTGATTTGAAAGCACCAGGTCCGGATGGCATGCCGGCCATATTCTATAAGCGGTTTTGGGAGCTGGTCGGGCCAAAAGTGAAGGAGGAAGTGCTGGGTGTGCTGAATGGTGCTCCGATGCCGAATGGATGGAACGAAACTACTATTGTGCTCATACCCAAGGTCAAAAACCCAGAGAAGGTCACTGAGTTTAGGCCTATAAGCCTTTGTAATGTTTTATACAAGTTGATCTCAAAGGTACTTGCAAATCGGCTCAAGGAAATCCTGCCTGAAATCATCTCGCCAACACAGTCAACATTTGTCCCCGGTAGGATGATCACCAATAACATGCTCCTGGCATATGAAATCACTCACCTGATGCATAAACGGAAGGGAGGGCGCAAGGGACTGGTGGCGGTGAAGCTTGATATGAGCAAATCGTACGACCGCGTTGAGTGGGGCTTTCTAGAACGGGTCATGATCAAAATGGGTTTCGCTGAACAGTGGGTGCACCTGATTATGAAGTGTGTTAGATCAGTTTCATACAGGGTAAAGATTAATAGGAGTTTGTCAGAAGTGATCACCCCAGGTAGAGGACTCCGGCAAGGGGATCCGTTATCACCGTACCTCTTTATAATGTGTGCGGAGGCTTTCTCTGCTATGTTGTACCAAGCGGAGCAGGAGGGCTCTATCCAGGGGGTTCAGATATGTCGTGGAGCTCCAAAGATAAACCACCTTTTTTTGTGGACGATTCGCTAATTGTTATGAAGGCAACAGTGGAGGGGGCAGCCAAACTGCAGCAAATTTTAGCTCTTTATGAGGATCAATCCGGCCAAATGATTAATAAGGAGAAGTCTAATGCCATGTTCAGTAAAGGAACCAGTGTAAACACACGGGGGGCTGTCCTGGCTGGCCTTGGCATAGCAGTAGAGTCCTTTAATCAGCGATATCTAGGACTGCCAGTTCACATTGGAGCATCCAGGAGTAAGGAATTTGAATATTTGAAACAGAAGATTTGGCAAAGGATTCAAGGGTGGAAGGAAAAGCTGCTATCGAAGGCGGGGAAAGAGGTCTTGATCAAGGCTGTAGCTCAGGCGATACCCACGTACGCAATGTCGTGTTTTGATCTCACAAAGCAACTTTGCGAAGAGATTAGCGCACTTATTGCCCGGTACTGGTGGAGCCAACAAGATAAAAGCCGATGTCATTGGATAAGCTGGGAACGAATGACGAAATCGAAGAAGGATGGAGGACTTGGGTTCAGAGATCTGCATATTTTTAATCTGGCCATGTTGTCTAGGCAGGGGTGGCGATTACTCGAGGCTCCGGATACACTATGTGCGCAAGTACTGAAGGCTCGCTACTACCCAAACTGTTCTCTTCTTGAGGCGACAGAAAGAGAGGGTATTTCTTATACCTGGAGAAGCATACTGAAGGGGGTTAATCTGCTCAAGGAAGGAATTGTTTGGCGGGTGGGGTCGGGGGATAACATCAAAGTGTGGGAGGATCCATGGATTCCTCGAGGAGATACTAGAAAGCCAACATCAGTAAGAGGGAACACAATTATCACACATGTTTCTGAACTAATGGACCCGGTTAGGGAAACCTGGGATGAGCAGTTAGTAAGGGACCTTTTCAATGAAGATGATGTGTCGCATATCCTCGCTATCCCGGTGCGACCGGATATGGACGATTTTGTAGCATGGCACTACGACCCCAAAGGAAAATTCTCTGTAAAAGGGGCGTATCATGTCGGTATCCGGATAAGAGATGCAAGAAATGGCAATGATGCAGGCCCATCATTGAGTCAGGGAAGGGGAGAGGATAAATGGCAAAGATTGTGGAACCTGGAGATGCCAGGGAAGGTGCGTATTTTTCTGTGGAGGTTTGCGCATAATAGCTTGCCCCTCCGTATGAATATTAAACGAAAAAGGGTGGACTTGGATACAAGATGCCCAGTGTGTGGCCGGCTGGATGAGGATGGTAGTCATCTGTTCATAAAATGCAAAGCTGTCAAGCAAGTTTGGAGAGGATTGGAGCTAGAGGATACAAGAAGTGCTTTGTTGGAGTGCACTGGGCCAAGAGGTGTTTGATCACATATGGAGCTTGGATAATAGTAAGCGAGATATTTCCCTTATCCTGCTATGGGAATGGTGGTCAGTGAGAAACAAGGTAAATGCAGGAGAGACGATGAGGTGCACTGACAATATCTGCTATACTATCCGACAGTATCTTCATGAATTCAGTAAAAGTGTTATGAAGCCTGTACAAGTGCCTCCCCAGGACAAGGTTACGTGGAAGCGACCCCCACCTGATGTCGTTAAAGTCAATTTTGATGCATCCTATCATGCGGACACAGGGAGAGGAGCATGGGGGTGTGTTGCTCGTACTGACCAAGGTGAATTTCTGGCAGCAAAGGCCGGCACACTTAAGCATCTTACAGGGCCTCTACATGCAAAAGCTTTGGCATGTGTGCTAACTACTGAAGCAAGTGCGGGACTGGGCATCCACAGGGTGATTCTTGAGTCTAATTCCCAAGTGCTTGTCCATACACTCAATTCTGGTGAATATGAACGAGCTTTGATCGGTGTCCTCCTACGGGAGACGCGAAGTATCTACCATCTGAACTTTGAATCATTTAGTTTCAGTTTCTGTAACCGAAATTGTAATAAGGTAGCACATGAGTTAGCTGCTTTTGGCTTCAGATCGGGAGCTGCTGATCTGTCGTGGATCGAGTATGCCCCAGACTTTGTTTCTGTTCTGGTCGCTAGCAACATTGCTGAGCCAGTTTAGTAATGGAATGAATTGTTCCGGGTCAAAAAAAAAGTTAAGGAGAATTATGACATATGGGTTCAGTCTTAAATGATCAATCTGGGGAATTCTCAGCCAATCTAGGCCAACCATTTTAAAATTTGGACAATTTTTTATAAGAATCGGTCAAATTTTCTTAAAGAATCCAAAGTTTTCAAAAAATCATCCGAAGAACATGTTAAATGGTCAATTTGGGGAATTTTCAGCCAAGTTAGCCCAACCATTTGAAATTTGGACAGTTTTTGTAAGATAAAACTGATTGATTTGTGCTTTTTTTTTACTGATTGGTCCTGGGGTTTTGGTTTTCTGTTAAAACCCCCTAGAGTTGTGGTTTTGTGTTACCTCGGTCTCAATAATTGTGTATTTGTGCAATAGTCTTGTTAAATCTCAATAGACCGAGACTTCGTTAAGTACCAGTTGATGTTATATCCATGAGATATTATGTTGAGATCCGTGCATTTTTTCTCTCTGTTTTTTTACATATTATGTCACTTCACTGAGACTCAGTCTGACAGGGGCGTCGATGGGTACGACATCAACTACGTCGTGGACGGCGGGGGCCTGCGGCGGGTGGCGGCCGTCCGGGACGGCGCGTCCGGCAGGGCAATGGAGCTGTGGGCGGACCAGCCTGGGGTGCAGTTCTACACGGCCAACGGGCTGAGCGGCGTGAGGGGAAAGGGCGGCAAGGTCTACGGCCGGTACGGCGCGCTCTGCCTGGAGACGCAGGGGTTCCCCGACGCCGTGAACCGCCCGAGTTTCCCGTCGCAGATCGTCCGGCCGGGGAAGGTGTACAGGCATGACATGGTGTTCAAGTTCTCCTTCTAGTAGCTAGTACTAGCTAGTGGTAGTGTGGTACCTGAGCTCGGTCGTTTGTCAGGCAACACAGTCGTCTCGTGTTTTGTGTAGTGTCTGAATTTGATCGGTTGAGCTTCAAGGGAGGAATAAAAGCATGCTGCAGGTTCAAGCCTTTTTTAGATATTGAAGAGTAAAATGCACTCTGGGTCACTCTTTATTTTTTTAAATATACTACTATGTAAACTAATATAAGACCATTTACAAAGGGAGTACTTTCATAAAATTGCACTCTGCATCACTCTCCAGCATGCAATATCGTCACTGCTTTATCAACCACGGCATGGATGCAAGCCGGAGGCGGCCGCATGACGACGGGGCCCACCTCTGCTGTGACCCCCTCGTCGCAGCACCGTAGGTGTTGCAAGCGATGCTGCGACGGTGCCACCTTCAATGCCCTTTGCTGCAGTGCCGTTGTGCTGCAAGTGAGCAACGGGGTGCGACAGGAAGCTGTGGCTGCAATGACCGGCGAGCCTGGCAGGGCTACGACGTGTGGGAGAGGAAGGACGAAGCAGGGGTGGGCGCTGCATTTTGGAAGAACAACGAATGGAGGATGACGAGGGGATGCTACGCTGACAGCCACACAACATTAAAGTCCAACCCCCAGCTTCCCACCTACCCCCGCATCTCACCGAGCTCTCCCCACCTCAAATCCCCATCTGAGAGTCCGCATGGCTGGAGCGTGTCGCCGCGGCATGCGGGTTCGCCGGCTTGCACCGGTGGCGTGGGTAGCGGAGCCGCGGGCACTTCCGCCCCCGGTAGTGGCGTCGCTGCCTGAGATCGACCCGCACTCGCTGGAGCGCTTCCCCGACCGTGACGAGTGGGGAGAGATTCACCTTCACATCCTCCGCCACGCGAACTTCGTCGAGCGCGCGCGCTTCATCGGAGACGACGGCTGCGAGGATGTGGAGCTCCTTCTCTGGGCGATCCAGGAGGCGGAGTCATCGGATCCGCGGCAGGCCGCCGCTGGGAGAACTTCAGGACGGTGAATCCCTCAAGGCTCAACATCCGCCCGCCGTCATGGGAGGGCATCGTCAACATCCCGCCGGAGTTCCTCCTTCCGGGGACCGTCTGGCCCCGCGTCGTCAGTAGATCGACTGCCCCGACTGGTCCAAACACAGCGACGACCCATCGATCCCCCGCCTTGGCCTGGTGAGTTAGGTATGCATTTGCGTGCTGATTTAACTCTTAAGGCTAGATCGAGGGAATTTCGTTTGCACCGTCGGGGGATGCGAGATTGTGCTGTTTCGATTATTCACTCGCCTGATCAGGAGTCGATGGTAGAGTCGAGGGTTCTCCCTCCTGGTTCTAGTAATAATGAGTGTGTGGCTGCTTCTGCAGCCGGTGAGACCTCATCGAAGTTGGTTTCCGGCGAGGGGCTCGACCATAGTTTAAAATCTTGTCCCAAACCAGGGGCGGCGACTCCCTGTCGTTCCCCCCTGTGAATCCAGCTTTGCCTGGCCCCACGTTCAAATTACGTGTAATTGGGGAGAAAGAGGGTAGGGCGAGGGGATTACGTAAAGACGAATCCCTAGAAAACGTGGAGGAGCATTTTGGCCAGCTTTGGCTTATTCCCTCTCCCCCTCGCCGCCGCCTCCCTAGAAACCCTACCCAGCAGCCACAAGATCCTTCAAAAAACGGATTCCTTTGCTGGATCCGGAGAGACTTGGTCGAGAACAATTCCCTTTTGGCCGCGAATTGTTTTCCTGCATCCTGCCGACCATTTGACCCACCACCAAAACAAATCAAGGTAGCTCGTGAGGGGATTGGGCCTAGTTCAATCTCCTTTGCGGAGGCTGTGAAGCGGGGGTTGAAGATGGCCGACCGCCGTGCAGGAGGGAGCAGCAATCTTGCTGCTGGTCAGTCCAAGGGGGCGGGTCAGAAACCCGCTTCGTTCGCTGGACGGAAGCCAGCTGCGCCTGCAGCAAAGGAACAAGCCCCTGCCCCCAAGCCCACCAGATCCACAGCCTCGACTGCTGGCTCTGCTCAGGTACAATCATCCCAATCTGTAGAGGTTGAAGTGGAACAAGTACTTGATCCTAGGTATAAGGATATGATTTGCTTTAACTGTGGTGGACCTGGACATTATGTTGGGAATTGCGTGAAGCCGAAAGCCTATTTTATCTGTCAGTAGAACCACAATCTGAACAATTGCGCAGCATGGTCTAAGATTCAACCTATTGCTGCCTTTTTTGGTAGTGGAGCTCAAGGCCTTGGTTTCTACCATGTGGATGTTCCCGTTGCTAATGAGTCAAAATGGTTAAACTTCCAGAATTATGCGGTGGTAAATATCTTAAAAGGAGAAGTTGATTGTGCTAAACTGATGGAACCACTGTCTGCTACTTTCTGTAAGACTAAACACTGGCCTTGGCAAATCAGAGGGCTCTCCAGCAAGACCTTTTTGGTCAGATTCCCCCCTTGGAAGAAAGTGGAAGACCTCATTGAACTACCTAGATTCTCCCTGCCACATGATGTGAATGTAACATTAACTGAATGGAAGGGTGGATGTGAACCTTTTGGAGAGTTGATTGAAGCCTGGGTACTGATTGAGGGGATTCCCCCAAAGTGGTGTACTTGGAAAGTGTTTGCCCAAATTGCTTCACTATTTGGGGTGCTTATAGATGTGAATTGGAATGGAATGTTCAGAACTTTCTTTGAGAATGTCAGAATCAAAATAGCCTGCAGAGATCCTACTAAGATTCCTTTTGAGAGACTGATTGAGATGAAGAAAAAAGTTGTTCCTGCTTGGTTTCACTGTTGAGGGCTTTGAACAAACAGGTGGTGTTGACTCTATCATTGATGTAGATGAGGATGAAGATGGTAATGAGGAGGATGAGAGACCTGAGGAAGAACATGCTAAAAAAGATAATGGAACTCAGGGAGAACATGCTTCTGAAGGGTCAGGTGAGGGTGATTTAGCCATTGATGAATTAGACAAAGCTAACTTCTCAACTAAACATGGGTCCTCAAACAAGTATGGTGTTCAAAGGTTGGTGGTTACACCTATGGAACATGAACATGATGCTGATCAGGAGGATTTCATTATGAAATATGCTTTGGCTGCTGTTGACCTTGATGGTGCATCTTTTGATGGACATGAACCTAAGTCTGGCTATGTTGGTAACCTTCTAGAACAGAACCAAAATACTGATGGGGAGGAAAGGGAGGATCAAGGAGTGGTGACCCAAAAAAAACCCTCCATCTGGGAAGAATGATACACACATAACTCCCCAGAAGAGTGCTGGTAGTATGGAATATTGTGAAGATCTACTAAGGTCAGTGGATATTTCTGATTCTGAAAATGAGGAAACAAAAGAAGAAGAGTTGGTGGTTCTCCCTCTTGAACTTCTCCAAATTCTACAAACTGAGACTTGGAAGAGGTCCCTGCTGGAATCACTTAACCGAACCCAAAGTGATGAGGCCATCCATGAGAAGAAACCAAGATGGGGCCCTATGCTAGCTCAAAGGCCTGCTACTAGAGGCCATGGCAATGTTAACATTATGGAGAAAGCTGCTGCATACAAGAGGAAGAAGAACTTGGTGATGCCACAAACATTCAAAGGTAATTCCTTTTCTACTATGGATAAATCTGTCCTTGCTAATCAAATGAATCAAATGAACTTGGTGATTGGGGGGGGGGGGTGAAATTCAAAAGAATCTCACCATTGATGATATGATAGCTGTGGAGAAAGAGATATGTTTGGTGTTTGCCAATAATAATCCTGAAATAGTGCTTCCTGCTAATCTTGACATTGATTCTAATGAATTAGTTAGTACACTTGGGGGTGCCCTCCCCTTGGAGCCAGTTGGCACTACTGATGCTACTAGGGGAACACCTGTTGTTCTAACTAAAGCTAAGCCTTGTGGCTTATCCCATCCTTTCAAAATTAATTAATTATGATAGGGCTTATTTGGAATATTAGAGGTCTAGGGTAACATGGGAAGATACAGTGCCTATGTGATACTATTGCTAAGTCTGATCCTGATTTTATTGGTTTTCAAGAAACAAAGAAAGAGAATATTTCTGAGGGTTTCCTCAAGGCTATTGATAGATTTGATAATTTTGTGTGGCATTTCTTGCCAGCTAAAAATACTGCTGGGGGATCCTTGTGGGTTTTAAGAAAATTATTTTTTGAGGTAGTTGGTTTTATTAACCAAAGATTCTCTATTATTGCTACTGTTAAAAATAAATCTGATGGCTTTGTCTGGCAGATGGTGTTAGTGTATGGATCTTCTTACCCTGAATTTAGGATGGATTTCGTAGCTGAACTGCATGATACTCTATCAAATGCTTCTTATCCTATCATGATTTGTGGAGATTTCAATCTGATTAGGAATGAAAAAGAGAAAAGTAGGGGTTTAGTAAATCAACAGACTGCATTTCTGTTTAATGATTGGATCAACAGATGGGCCTTGATGGAGATTTGTGTCTCTAACAGGGTGTTTACCTGGTCTAACAACCAGATTTCCCTTGTGTTTGCTGTGTTAGATAGAGTATTCATTTCTGTGAATTAGGACACCCATTTTCCTTTTTTCACCTTGTCAGCCCTTCCCAGGGTGGGGAGTGATCATACTCCTCTAATCCTGGGCATTGGTGTTAGAGCCCCATCCGACCCCAAACCTTTTAGGTCTGAGAAATGGTGGCTCTCCCAACCATGATTTCATCAAATGGTCATAGAAGCCTGGAATTTCGTGTCCTCATCCAAATTCCCAGCTGATAACTGGATGCTTAAGACTAGAGTTCTCAGAAAGAAAACTAAAGGGTGGAGTATTAATAGAGAGGCAGTTTTGAAGAAAAAGAAGAGGGCACTCCTTCTAGAGTTTGAGACTCTCGATGTCATGTCTGAAACTCAACAATTATCTATGTCTGACTATGACAGAATGAAGGAGATTAAAAAAGAATTGGATGAAGTGTGGAAGAAAGAGGAGACTGCTCTATGGCAGAGATCTAGGGATAGGAAAATTTTAGAGGG